TCTCACAATAAGTGTAAATATAACATAATAAAATATTTATAAACATACTGGAGGTCTGGTGCATGAAATTCGTGCACTTGGGGAGGGGGTTCTCAGCCTAGCCTGCACCCTCTCGCAGTCTGGAAGTCCTCGGGGGATGTCTGACTGATGGCTTAGGTCCACTCCCCGTGGAGAGTGGGCCTAAGCTGTCAGTCAGATATCCTTACTGTTGCTGCAGAGGTGGGAGAGGCTCCCGTCACCACCACTGCGCTCGCCAGCCAAGAGCCCAGCTCTGGCTGAGCAGCGCTCCCCCTGTGGGAGTGCACTGACGACCAGGGGAAGCTCCTGCATTGAGTGTGATCAGGCCAAAATCGGCTCTCCAACATCCCCTGGATTGCGAGAGAGCTCAGGCCAGGCAGAGGGACCCCACAGGTGCATGATCGGGACCAGAGAGGTACGCAGGAAGGTGTGTTTGGCCCATCTTGCTCATTTCCGATTGGCCGGACCTCAGCCGCCAGCTAACCTACTGGTCAGAGCATCTGCCCTCTGGTGGTCAGTGCATGTCATAGAGACTGGTCAACTGGTTGACTGTCTGCGCCATGGTGGTCAGTGCATGTCATATCAAGCAGTTGAGCAGCCTTAGCATATCATTAGCATATTACACTTTGGTTGGTTGAATAGATGACCAGATGACCAGACACTTAGCATATTAGGCTTTTATTATATAGGATAAATACATTTTCTGTCCTTCCATACTCTACTTTCCCATATCATTTTTTTTTCAGGTGTAGAAAAGCTCCCCTAATGTAAATGTTTCCTATTTCAAAATAAATTACTATGAATTAACATGCACACATTAGAAGTAACAAGGAAGCAGTGTATATGCAGTTGCATATCTAAAAGGTTTCTCCTGACCATGTGGAAATCAGCTCACCAATGTACACAGCCACGGCCATTCCAATGCTGAGCCCAGATGAAATGCCAGTGGGGTCTTTTAATAACCATTCCGTTATGTACATATAGTTTGAAGTATATAATGCAGAATGTATATAGAACATAATATAATGTATATAATGGAAAAAAGTATAATATATTCTCAGTTTCGCTTGGATTTTTAGAAATCTCCAAAATTTCAATTTTTGATAAAAGTTCAAGCTGAAAATGTTGACATGTTCTTTGTGATGTCGTTGCAACAATTTCCATCTTCTTCCTTGTTGCTGTTTCCACGGATGACCAATGGCCTAGAGTGCATTGACTATAATTCTTCCAGTTTTGGGGTTGTTGATTTCCACTTTCCTACCTAAGAGGGGGAGAATATCAGCAAAAAGAAAAAATTTCTCCTTCCTTCCTTCCTTCCTTCCTTCCTTCCTTCCTTCCTTCCTTCCTTCC